TTTTTTTTTTAGGTTTCAATTGGGTTGGGTTGAGATGGAATTTGTATAGCAATTGGATAAAAACTTTCACATGGACTTTAAATCTTCAATTCCATTAAAGCTCGGCCCAATTCTCCATCCCTTGAACTTAACATCTATTTTTTATTCCAAAGAGTGTATCTGAAAATACATATAAGAGAAATTAATTTAAACATAGAATAAAATGAAAACTTTACCCAACTTATGATTTTAGTGTAAAAATATAACAAGTAGCCTAAAGAGCCAAATATTTCATTATACCCTTTATTTTCACATAAAATGCATTAAAAATATAATAAAGAACTAAAGTATGACCAAATAAAATGTGACAATTTGTAACGTATCAAATACCCCCACACTTAGTCCTTTGTACGTCCTCGGGCAAAGTAAATACCAAAAATCATAACTCTCTTTTTTTAACATTAGAACTCAAAATAACTTCTCTATCTTATAACAATATAAAGTGATGTATTTGAACACAGATCAGAAATTAATCATATACCAAATAGAATGAACTCTTTAAAATTCAATTTGCTACTTTAAATTTTAAACAATTCTTTCACTTCAAAACTAAGTAGAAATTACTTTTATTCAATGTCAAAACTTTGAATTAATTAAGGTAGTGTTTTGCAACTAGCATTTCATTTCAATTCATGCATTTCAATTCCAAAATTTGAAATCTTGAATTTCAAATGACAAGGGAAGGTGCATGAATTTCAAATTAATTTTTGTTATGAATGAGAAGAATTTGACTCAAATCCAAATTCAAAATTTTAAATTTCCCAAACATGTAATTTGAGCCAAATCCGGATTTGAAATCCAAATCCATATTCCCAAACATACCATAAGGCCATTGAGAATAATTTAAAAGAAATACATAGAGCAGCAAAAAGTGGTTAGAAATCCTAAGGAACCATCAAGTAAAGAAATGCTCAAGAAAATTTATTTTCTTTTCTAAAATCTGGAAACTTCAATTTATTGCTTTTATTTAGTATTTAATTTTTTCCATTGTTTGAGTTGACCCGTGTAGCGAGTCTCAACCAGGCTACCCCAGGCCCATTCCAGATAGCCCAAGACCTAAATAAACAAAGTATTCCGAGGGTTTCAACTCGAGTGCTCAAACAATGTTTTATTCATTTATTTTCTTTTAGATTACTTTTTTTTACCTAGCCATTTATTGCACTTTTTTTTCTTTTTTGGCTCAATGGCGTCGGTTTTTTTCTTATTATTTTAAACTGGTTATGGACGAGATTCTTACGGCCCAAAACGGGGTTTGCTCTTCCAACTTAGGTTTTCTCCATACACAACATCACTTCCTTTTGGGATTCGTTGCTTAAGGGGTCAAAGGTGTCGGGCCACCCATTCCAACCTAAGATGGTGTTCCAGTATATATATTATATTCATTTCAGCATCTTGATAATATGTAATTAACCAAAGTTTAGAGAAGAAAAAATATTTTCTTAAGACTAACTTAACTTGAATAGAAACTTAGGATGTAAAAGAGTTAGAAAACTGCTCCATATACTTCTAAATAAATTAGGCACATTGATCTTAACTAAATAAAAGGTAAGAGATTAAATAAAAATAAGTTCTAAATAAATTTGATTTAAAAGATACGTTTTAAATTTTAGAGTAGCAAACTCATTTTTTTAAGAAGCTCAAACATATTTGTTACAATATTAATTTCCATATAATGCCAAAATACAAACACTTAAGTGCTAAAAGATTAAGAAGTAATTATTATGAATTCTAATAAGTTTTTTTTGAAACACGCTTGCAACTATTATAGTTTTCTCTAAAAAAACTTTAAAATTTTTGAATTTATTTAACCAAATTGCATCTATTATGCAGAATAAAAAATCTACCCAACCCATGCAAATAAATTTTAACAAGTATATTCGAAAAAAAAAAATGCACAACTAAATGTAAGTGTCCCCCCCACACTTAATTCATGCAATGTCCTCAATGCATGTCAAAGGTATAAAATAAAAAAAACCTTTACACATACTAGCTAAAGCTATTTAAAAGCATGGAACATGGAATGAGATTAAGGAACAAAAGCATCAACAGCTAAAAAAAAATAGTAAGCAAAATAACTTCCCTGAAAACATTGGGTTGCCTCCCACTAAGCGGTGTTGTTTACTGTCGTTGGCTCGACTTCACGTATCTCTCCAATAAGTTTATGTCTCCACCTGAAAAACAAATGGCAAGACAAAAAAAATAAAAGGAACAAATAACTAGGGCAAATAAAATGTATTTTTTTTGGCCGACACTATATACATCCCCATACAAAGGCACCGAACTCTGGGAGGCACTTAAGCCGACTCACTAAGATTTATAAAAATAAAGAAAAAGTGAATAATATAAATAAATTAGTCCTGGTAAACAGGATCTTCAATTGTGATCTCCTCGATCTCTGGAGATTTTAGCTCATGAAAGGGTTTCAATCATTGGCCATTTACCTTAAAAACAGCACCATCCTTGGGATTTTCAATTTCAACAGCCCCATGAGAATAAACAGTGCGAACAATGAAAGGACCAGACCACCGAGATCTCAACTTACCAGGAAACAAATGCAGACGACTGTTATAAAGTAACACTTTTTGGCCAGGCTCAAAAGATTTCCTGAGGATATTCTGATCATGCACTCTTTTCATTCTTTCTTTGTATGATTTAGCACAATCATAAGCATCATTTCTAATCTCTTCTAGTTCATTAAGTTTCAATTTCCTCTCAACACCGGCTTGCTCCAAATCAAAGTTTAAAGTTTTAATAGCCCAATATGCTTTATGTTCTAATTCAACAGGAAGATGACATGCTTTTCCATAAACCAAACGATAAGGAGACATGCCAATGGGAGTTCTAAAAGCAGTACGATATGCCCATAATGCATCATCTAATTTTAAAGACCAATCTTTTCTTGAGGAATTAACTGTTTTTTCTAAAATTCTTTTAATTTCCCTATTAGAAATTTCAACTTGACCACTAGTTTGGGGATGATAAGGGGTAGAAATTTTATGCAGAACACCATATCTTTTCATCAAGTACTCAA